TGTTATTAAAATTCAAATTTACTTCATTYTGCTAAAGATTTGATACTCATCTCTTACATTCATAGTAATTAATTGAAACTTTGCAGAAATTAGATTAGCAAATAGAGCCATAAAGTAAGATGCAGATGCCTATTTTCATTTCTTTTTGCTTACAGATTTGCTTCCTCTGTTTTTCATCTAAGCAGTGGAGCAGAAAGTATCAGATTAAAGAGATAAGCAAAGGATGAGCTTTTTAAGTAACATTTTCAAAATCTCCACAGCAAGCCTGTTAGGCAAAGGAGAAGAGACTATAAAACAGATATTTTGAAAGTGTTATTAAAAATTATTACAGGAATTAGAAGCCATTCCTATTTTTAAATAAGTATAAATTGTTGGCAGGAAGATCACTGCACTTAGAAGCTCTGTAAACTTTCCTACACCTAAAGGGTTATAAAAACATACCACTCTCATCTAAGATATCTTTCCTTCCACTGCAAGCTGACTAATTTTTTCTTTTTCAAGGTTTGGTGCCGCTAAAGTGCAGAGTAAAATTGTGGCTATTGGCCTTTTTACACACTGTTCCTAATTTAACAAACAGAGCAGTTTAGAAGGTCAAATAGGAAAACAATATCTTAAGGAAAAAAAAAAACAAAAAAAAAAACCAACCTCTGTGGCTTTGAAATAAAGAAAGAAAAAACAAAAAACCCCAGTGCCAAAATGTTTATCTCCTCGGACCATGAAGCCATAAAATAAGTACCGCACAGTGAATCATCTCAAAACTTCAAAGCCTGTATGCCCAGTGTACCATTTTAGGGCTATTAAGTTGTACAGCTACTGTATTTGTAGTAAATAGTTATACAAGATTGTAGCAGCACTGCCAAAGATCTCTCCCTTGCAACAAAATTTCCTTAAAGCTACACTCTTTACCATGAGCTCACTGCATAAACTCGTAATGTCTCACACCATCTCAAGAGATCCTGCACCAAAAATGTATTGATGGTTACACTGAAAATGCCAGCATCATTTAGAAAATATTAAAGTACTCCATATATGACATTATACTACATACAGTAAGTGAATAATGAAATACAATTAATTCCTTTGATATAACAGCATTTCTGTAGAAAAGCAAAGTAATGATTTTCCTCATTTTTTCAAAGACCATGATGAAAATTTACAAAACTATAAAATCTCATTAGAAGGTGGTACTATATCCCCAAGATGTTAGGTAAGTCAAGAACATAGGAAGGCATACCCTTCAGGTATATGTGATTCTCAGAAAAGAGCATTCCATCTACACTGATACCTTGCCTACRTATGATCTTCAGTGATTTGTCCCAATYAAATGGTAAAAGGCTCAATTTACATGTAAACTCTAGCCCACCACAATCTGTTTGCACCCACTCATGTGCAGCTGCCAGCTATTCCAGGTGTCTGGGGTAATCAAAAGGCACCATCAGTGTCTCACAGAGGCCACCTGGGAGGACTGCAGCCTTAATCCCCATTAGGTCATGCAAAGAGTAAGGTATCCTGAATTTTTTGTTTATGTCATAGGACACTGTACAACATTTTTGTTCATTTAATCTGGCAAAACCACTTGTATTAGTGCCCCAGGTTCCAAAGAAAAATGAAACCAAACTTTTATGTATTTGGCATATTATGAATTGCATTGTCATAGGGGAACTTGTTTCTGAGCTCAGATAAGCTCTGGGCTGCGRCGGCCTCACCTCAAGTGCTGGGGACAGTTCTGCATCCCACGAGGTAAGGAAGATATTAAACTATTAGAGAGCATCCGAAGGAGGATGATGAGGAGGATKAAGGGCCTTGAAGRGAAGCCRTATCAGGAGAGGCTGAGGTCACTTTGTTCAGCCTGGAGGAGAGCAGTGGAGACCTCATAGCAGGATACAACTYCCTTGTGAGGGGAAGAGGAGGAGCAGGCAGKGATCACTGTGGTGAGCAGTGACAGGACCCMAGGGAATGGCCTGAAGTTGTGCCAGAGGAGGTTTAGGTTGGATATTAGAAAAGGGTTCTTCACCCAGAGAGTGGTTGGGCACTGTAACAGGCTCCCCAGGGAAGTGGTGACAGCACTAGTGTGGAATAGCTCAAGAAGTGTTTGGACAATGCTCTCGGACACATGGTGTGACTCTTGGGCATGGTGCTGTACAGGGCTAGGAATTGGACTCAATGRTCCTTATGGGTCCCTTCCAACTCAGCATATCCTGTGATTCTGTGATCCACTATGAAACATGATTTCAACTCAGTCACTCACAGACTTTTCTCCTTGCTTTCCTTCATCCTGCATGTAGGTAAATTAATTTACACAATGTTTCCAAGGCCTGAGAAATGTGCAGAGGAGCAGCTGTTTGCTGCAACTTCTTTTTTTTTCTATTGCTAAAAAGTACACTCACTTTTTGAGGAAAAAAAAAGATATTTTTACCCTTGGTTCTGAAGCTTGAAACCTTGATGAATTAGCTGAAAATATAACTGAGTGGATTTACACAATGCTGTTACACCAAATACTTCACTGAATAGAGAACAATTATTCAGTTCCTCTGTTTATGCATAAGTATACAAAAATCCTCTCTGATTAAGCAGTATTGTATAATTCCTATTAGCGGAGGCAATATTTCAATGGCAATATTTCAATTGTGGAGGTGAAAATACAATTCATGTTATCACACACATTTCTATTCATGCATATGTATTCCCAATATTTTCCTGCAGAAGAAAATTTTGATAAGCAAAGATCTGGTCTTTGAAAGATGATCAGTACCTCTAAAATTTAATATCAGCAATTGAGTACACACAACCTTTTCTAGGGACCAAATGAGATTAAAAATACATAGACATGTTTAAGCACCTAGATCCAAATTTCTTACTCTCAGAGTCCCCARTTGTAGAGGTAGGTAAACAATTCCTAAATTCTTTTAAATCAGCTTTCTAAAAGACTTTAATTTCTGCTTTTGTTCATGCATATTGTTCTCCAAGCCACAGCATTAGGGACCGACCAGGTATCCAGCAGTTTTAGAATCCCCAAACTCTTTTTATTCTCTCTCTCCTGCTTTAGGATTTTGCTGAGCTATAATTGTTTGTACTGTGCCTAGWAGATCAAACTATAACTGGAAAAGGATTTTTGGTTTTTAATTCTAATCAAAGTTCAGCAGTTCTATATAAAACCTCATCTGCTGGAGCACTTATTATTGCATACACATGGAGCAAATTTGGCTCCATTTCTCCTTAGGAGCAGTTTTGACAATTAATGTAAATTTAAATATAAAATACGTTGGATAGACACGAACAGTTGATAACCTTATACACTTGATTTTCTGGTGTCAGAGGCTTTCTGAAAATTTGAAGTATATATTTGGTAAACCAGGCAGTTTTTTGATCATTGCCAGTTCTATTCATCTTCAYCTGACAAGCAGATCTAGGGAGATTTCTGAATCTTCTGAATTTTTCTGAATAAAAACAGATCTAGGTTCTCTGACAAAGTTACCTCCTTTCTAAACACATTTTCATCAATTACACTCTCAAAAGTCACAGAAACCAAATGTTTCCAGTTTGACAACATAATGAATTTAGATTGTGTTATATTCATGTTGAATGTAAATTAATTTATTTTAACAGACTTGGATTAATTATATCTCTAAAAATCTGTCTGTTTYGATAGTGAATAGCATTAACACTATGCACATAGGTTCATTTTTCAAAAGCATTTTTGTAGAAGYATAATCCAAACCATACCTAATTAACAGCGGAACCTGCCCTTGACTTGAACAGACTGTAGATCAAGCCTCAACCACTGCAACTTTGTCAAGAATAAAATTCTCAAGTGATTTCTTATAAGATACTATGAGAAATGAAAAACACACAGGTTCTCATTGATCATAGCTGGAGCCCACAAAGTGACATGTGAAAAGTGGTTGAAAGGGAGCCCTTAAGGACTGGAAAAGACAYGGTTATTGATTTACCAGGAACAGTCTTGCCAAGCTTAAATGAAGGAAAACAGAAAAATGGCATAACCTGGGTGTAATTCTTTTGAGGTAATGCACTGAGTGAGTGAGAGCTGTGTTAGTCATCTCTAGCGTTCATTCCTAAAGCAGATACATAATTTTAATTAAATGAATAGTTACGGTAAAATCTTAAAAGATCAGAATCCCAGTGAAATATGACGTATAAATTACCATGTATGCCAGTGTTTTTACCAAGCTGAAACTACAACATGTGCAATAAACGTCTTACAACTTTATAAATCTTAACTTATGAAGACTATTTGTGTAGATTGAAATTTTGAAAGGTGATGAAATTTATTACAAAACTACTCTCTCATTTCATTTATACTGATTAATTAAACTACATGAATGRATATGTAACATACAGTCAAATGTTAAATATTTCCCACAATTCTGTCATTCCTTTTGGGAAAACAGGGAAACTTGCACCAAAATGATATGTAGAAAAACATGTTTTTCTTGTATGAAAAAAAAAATTCATTCAAAAACTGTTAATCTGGATCTGTTTTCCAGACACAAAATTCATGAAAGATCTGTAATTCATGGTCAAAATTATAACCTGGCAATTAAATAAATCATACTAATACTTATGAGCTTACTAGTGATGCTGAATTTATGGCTAACTTCTCGTATATGAGAGTAAACCTTTTAAAAAGGCATCAAAAGAGTTAACATAATTTGATTAGATCAGATTGACTAAATTTGAGTTTAATAATCTTTTTTTGTGTTAATTTTGCTGAGTTTTGTCTGGGGGAAAAAATATTTCAATCAAACTATGGGTAAAAGAAGTTTTCTTGAATAAATCTACCTTAAAAAGTCGCTTACATTGCACTATAGTATTTTATCAACCAATTTGTTTAATGCTATAAATTTTGTTCATGTGTTTATACTTAAGTGAACAAGTTGAATTAAATGAAAATAGGTAGTCAGAAAATCAGGGTGGTTTTTTTTTTTTTTTTGCTTGTGATCCACAGGTTTTATAGTTAACTAGGGCTTTTTTTCCCTTACCTGGAACTCTCTTTGCCCAGTTGATCATGTGCACTAATTCTCTGTCTGCAAGGTTGGTCAACAGGGTCATCATAGAGGCTTCGTTGAACGGTCTGTTTGGGTCATACTCAGAATAAACTAGGGGTGGCTCAGCTTCCAGCAAGGCACTGACCATCTGTTCTGCCGTYAGGGACAGGGCTGGGCTGTTCTTCTTGTTGTGTTTAACCACCAGTGGACTTGTCCAAAGGGTGGGAGCTCGCAGCTCTGTTGAAGAAGCCTCCCCATTCCTGGAATCCTGCTCCTCTCTTTGGCGTTTTTGTTTCATCACTCGCCCACCTCTGCGGTCTTTCCGGATTCCTAGAGACACACAAGAATAAAATTAACTCCATTCCTTGAACTGAAGTATTATGTACACTTGGCTTCAGCCAACAGCAGATGCTTTTGATAGACCCAGGCAGCACTGACTCTWGATTTATTTTCTGAAGATTTCTTCCTATACAGGGAATCTTACATAAGTGGTTGGAGAGAAAAATCATTTTTAAAAGTATAGTGTCATGAATAGTGCACACCTTCCTAAAATTCAGATTAGTTGGGCTCACACAGAACTCCAGACTAGAGACACTGTCTAGGCTGCCTTAGCCCCACAAAAGGACGTTTGTTATTGGGAATAAATAAATATTGCATTACAGCCCAAAATTTCAAACCATGTTCCAGCCTCTAGCAGACCATTATTCTATAAATGATCAATGATAAATTAATGATGTTGGTGGATCAGATGGATGACAGAAGTAGCTCCCAAAAAATATCTAGAAATATTTGCTTAAGGTCACCGATTATTTTAATTAAACATCACTCTATTACTGAGCCTGTGATCTTCATAATTATATAAAAACCACTCAAGAAAGTTCCCATTATAAGATGAACTTATACAGCAATAAAGAATTCCACATAAGTAGATAAACATAAGTAATAAAAGGAGAGATAAYTGCAACTTCAGAATCTGATGTGGGAGACCTACTGTCAAAAGGCTAAAATAACCACAACAGAAACCCTCACTGTCATTACTGCACATGTCTGCAATGTGCTTTGCACTGTGTGACCCTGAACCTTGGGACATTATCAAGTCAGCCATACCAATTCAAACAACATAAGACCTTTACAGTGGAACAAAATCTCCCTTTGTGGAAAGGTTACAAGAAAAACATARTGATAAAGCCCACGTGGACTCCAACCATAAAGGGAAGGTTAAGTCTGGCTSTAAGTGGAGGAGTTACAGGCATTTTGAGACAGAGTCAAAAACCTTAATCCATCATCAAGTGGAGGCAGGGGAGGACRACCAAGTAATAAGGAAAGCACACAAAGAATTGAGATATGAGAAGGCAGCTTATGACGTGGCTTATTCTGGAGTTCTCATGAAATATGAAAAGCAGCACTAGTCCCAGTTTGAAAAGCAAAGGAAGTATCTATAGAGAACAAAGATGCAAACTATACAAGGAATAGAGAAAACATTTAAAGCAAAAACGAAACAAAACAAAACATTTGCAAGCAATCAATACAGCCTTTCTAATGGCTGGGAAAGGGAAACACAACCTTTGCTCAGCTCTCTTCACACCACAAAATTTTAAACCTTTAGAATCTCAGTCTTTGTTAGCAGCCTTTTCATCTCACATAAAACTTGCCTTCACTTAAATGTTGGATCACATAAGCAGGCATACTTTTCCAGCCTCAAAGAAACAGGGAGAATCTTTAGATCTCTTTCCCTCTTTCTTCAGCTATAGTGAGATTTTCACTGAATTAGTAATTGACGATTGAGCAGTTTATGTCTAATTCATTCAAAGTCTAGTAGGCTTTGTGATTCTATTCCATTAATCTATTCAGATAAAGGGAGTTCAATAAATCTTTCATCACTCCTATTACTTAACCTATCTGCATTTCCCATTCACTAAACTATTTCTGAGCCAAAACTCTGAAGTGCTTTGCTGTTTCCATTTTTCATTCAATATCAATCTTTCCTACCACTAAACAGTTTCTGTTAAAGAGAGTGGGGGGAGATTCTTACTATTCATAAAAACACAAGATTTATTCTGGCAAAATGTCATCATAGAGATATTCTCATTGGTAACTTACTTCCTTGAAATACTCMATAGCAGGCATGTTCTATCTCTAACAGATATTTTTGTTTTTTGCTTTGTATCAATGTAATGCTTTTGAATTAGAATTGCTGTGTGAAACTTGTAGATGTCATCACATGAACAAGCCCAAATGGGTCACAGAAACTAAAGCATTTGTTAACTTCCTCACATTTCAAATTTTACMACTGCTCATCTAGCAATTTTCTTTCAAATAGAAAGTATTCTTGGGGTCTGTGCTGTTCAACATACTCATAAATAGATGGGCTGACATAATTCATAAACAAGAACCTGGGGTTAGAAAAATACTATAAAAACATCAGATAAGTTCAGAAAGTAAATAGAAGGCTAGAAATTACTAGGAAAGGAAGGGAGGACAGAACAACTTCATAAATCACAGTTTATTATCGTGAGGCACACTAGAATGAACACTGTATGCAGTTCTGCTTTTCCTAAATTAAAAAGTTACATAAAATAAATGGAAAAAGGATAAGAGAAAAACAGATTACTTCAAATGTGAAACAACTTTGGTGTAAGAAATAGCTAAATTGACTATGTCTGCTTGGTCTGCAAGCCAGACACAAGACTACAAAACCAAGAGCAGCAAGATGATGAATAAAGTGCAAAATACTAAAACTTCTCTTTTAATACAAGAAGGTATCAAATGAAAATACCCCATTCAAGGTTCAGGACAGACAAGCAGAGGTTCTCTTTCACACCATGCAGAAGCAAAGCTGACAGTGAGAATAAATTAGAAGGTGGTATAGCTAGAAAGAAGGTGGTATAGAAAGAAAGAACAGAATCRATTAGGGCTAATACATAAAAGTAGAACCCCTTTAAGCCCTCCATCACATAAATTACAGAAAGATCAGATATTTTTGGTTTTGCTTTTTACTTAGTCCAGGCTTGCCTTGTTAACTAAAACAAGGATGTGATGAGGTTTTACATAACAGAGGAAAGGTGGCAAATGTAAGCATATTCAGCTGTTTACAAATAAACCAGATGTTAAATAAGAACAATAGTTTTATTTTTAATTTATCTTAAAGTTTACCACAAGCTTTTCTTGACCTTAGAACAAAAAAGTGGTGCATTGAGCAAAACTGACCATAACCAGTGTGGAGGAGATGCCCCACACTAATTTATTTTTTGTCTTTTTATTTGGGGATTTAAAAAAAAAAATCAGCCAACCACCCAACTGTAGCAATTTTACTACTAGACTTTGTAGAGACTAAATCTGAAAAAATAAGTCAGGAAGAGCATGCATTCCTTCTGCATCACATCAGCAGCTTTTATGATCACAGACAGAAAGGTCTCTGAATCTGTATAAGTATCACAGCCATAAGAGAATTACAGAACTTGCTACTAACTCCTTACCTAACCCCTAGATGGACAAGTAACGTACTTATTCGTTTTCTTGGACAAAACAGGAGTGAGTATCTCTCTGAAAAATGCAAGTTCTCCCAAATCTCCTTCAGCTTAATCAAATTTTATCTCTGTTAAAAGGAGATAATGCAGTTACTAATTCCAAAAAAGGCAACTCTATCAAGCTACAATTACATTGCCAAAAGTGCAATGATCCTGTAAGGGTTTTTTAAATATATGAATGCATCAATTTTGAGTTGACAGTTCAGCCAATAAAGGGACCTGAATTGTCAAGCATGATGAAAAACAATATTCTACCAGAAATTTGAGTAATATGTATCTTGGAAGAGCTCTTAAAACAATTTCTACTCGAGTTTTAAAGCTGCAAGAGCCAAGATTTTCAAAGTCAGTTTTATAAAGCTTCATATGTAAATTCAATCAGACTTTTAGATGTGGAAACGGGTTTCAAAACTGCTGAATAATTATATAATCTAATCATTAGAGCTTGATCARCAATAAAATTGCATATGGACAATAAAATTTTATGCAACACTCCCATGGCAGGGGAGTTGGAACTAGATGATCTTTGAGGTCCTTTCCAGCTCTATGAGTCTATGATYGTGAAGGAAATGTTAACAATATGAAATACTTCACTAGGGTTTTCCCTCGTGTCATTAAAACAAAACAAAAAATAAATTCCAGATTGTTAAAACAAAATATCCTAAATTAAGAATGCATTGGATGATCATTGAATCTCAGCCATACAACAGCCAGTTTTTCCTACCTACTGCAACTAACGAAGTTCCACCTCTGTTATATAAAATATTCAAGAATATTTAGAGRAAGAAAAGGAGAAGACCAAATAGAATCAAATTTGTTTGGCTGTGTATGGACTACAGAACAATGCATTTCAGATTTGATGAGAAATGTATAATCTCAAATTTTATTTCAGTTAAATATATTCCCTGTGAGCTGCTTTATATAATAGTCTTTGATTTCTTTCTCCTAGAAATTTTATCAATCAGCAGTTTTTAGTCACACTTGAGGGGAGGAGAAATCATGGCAGGAAGAAAAAGGGACAAGAAAAAGATGGATCTATGATTGGTTTTGGAAACAGTGATGGGTAAATGGTTTATCAGCTAATTTYCCAGTCTGGAACAACCTTTGAACCTGAGGCTCTTTGTCCCCAGTTCTGCTCCTTGTCAGCAGACCCCAGATGACAGACATTTGACACTTCTATATACACGCACAGCCTTGTAGCATTAACAGCCTATAATTGTGTCAGTTCATCAAAAGAGTGTTTCAAATCTGCTTGGAAACACCTTCTCTTCTAAACAATGTTGTTGCTCTTCAAGACCAACCTACCTGTCGGAATTCTGTTGAAATTTGCCAGAGAGAAAGAATCTCTAGTGTTTTGTGAAACAAACCTTGTTGGACAATAAAAAACTAAATGTATGTGGTAAGTGAAAGGTTTTATAAATTAGAAGGTGTCTTCAGAAAGGCAGAGAGTCAATTGCTCAGTTGATGATCAGACTGTTAGGGGAGAATGCACAGAACAGGCCATGGCAGAGATACTGCACAAATCCTTTACACCAGTGTTTGCAAAGAAAGAAGCCAGATTTTCCTATCCAGAAACCCACTTTTCTGAAACTGAAGTCAGAGTTGAGGAGGCCAAAAAATTCAAAACCTTCTCTTCAAATGTCCAAATATGGGAAGGATTTACTAAACAGTTGAAGAAGACTTCTGGGGCTCAGCCCAGGCTCACTTTGGTGTCACTGCAGGCATTAGCAAAAGTAAGGGAGTGCAAAAGTGAAAGTTTGAACAAGCTAAAAGTTCTCTTAGGGACATAAACCTGAGTGTCCAAGC